CACCCACACCCACACCCACACCCACACACCCACACCCACCCACACCCCGCACCCAAGTTCGCTTAGAAATTACTTGAAGAGCTTTATCATATCTGGCAGATTCTACCTAGTGTAAATCAGCATATAATCTTCTACCACGTTCCATAAGAATATGCTTTCAAAACGAAAAAATTTTTTTCAAAAAATTCCCGTATCCCATCTAGGTCTTTTGATGGAGAATCTTTTTCTGTAAAATCCCCGTGCTCCCTACGGGAAGTTTTTGAAAAAAGTTTTCTTGTCATTTTGAAAGGATATTTTTATGGAGGATGATAGAGCATCGCATGCTGATTTACCCTAGGAGGAATTTATCTGATTTGATGAAACTCTTCAAGTAATTTCTAAGCGAACTTGGCTATGTTTCCTGTAGAATAGGGCTCATTTTTTTGTATTTTTCAATAAGTCTCCTAGCGCCATTCTTTCACATCCCACCACAATTTTTAGATAACTATGTAGTAAAGCTCTTAACACATCAGAAGACTCGGGGTCTTCTATTTTGTCTTATCATTCACAAGTTACAAGTGGTCTTCTATTATGTCCCTAGAAAAGGTCAATTTTTTTTCGTGATCTCAACGACAAATTCTAATTTCAACCCTTTTTTGTCCAATACATCGTTAGTAAACGAATTTATTTTGCTTATTCCGCGCTCGTACAATGGAAAAGAAGCGGATAATGTTTTAATGCAAAAAAAAAGAGAACAATCGTTGGTTAGAAGAGTGTTCTTAAAACAATATATACAACATATCCTAAATTTTTTGTGTGATTTATAACGGCACTATTTGTTCTAAAAAATACGATCTATCACTGGTGACATTTATGTTCTATATATCTACACCCTTGGACTAAAGTATTTCCCCCTCTTTATTTCTATACTATCATACTTTGCATCAAATTTATTGCCGAGCAAAAGATATGACATAAGAGTTTTATTTCAATATGGTATAGAGCACACTGCAATAAAACTCTTATGTCATATCTTTACTCGGTCATACATTTGATGCAAAGTATGATAGCATAGAAACAAATATGGGGAAAGACTTTTATCCGGGAGTATGAATAACTTAAAGAAAGAAAATTAAACCTTTTCCAGTCAAAGTTATTTAAGTAAGTTGCTAATGTTAAGGATTAGCTCGTATGAATAGAATTGGTTTAAAATGAAATGCACCATCAGCTTAGTTATTAGTTTCTAGCTAGTTTGAATGAATATGGTTATCTACGAAGAAACATTTTACAGAAAAAGAGCGGTTGAATAAACGTTAAGAGTGATTTTAGAATCTTTTGTGTCTATTTCGAAAAGCAACTAGGTATCTTTATGCGAAAAAAAAAAATGTCCTCATACATAGGAGAAGTGTCTCATAAAACACGTCTCATTGTAAATCCTCGGAGATATATTTTTTCCAATTATGAATGAGGGTGTGGGTGTGGGTGTGGGTGTGGGTGTGGGTGTGTGGGTGTGGGTGTGTGTGGGTGTGTGGGTGTGTGTGGGGTGTGTGTGAGGGTGTGGGTGTGGGTGTGTGGGTGGTTGTGGGGTGGGTGTGAGGGTGTGGGTGTGGGTGGGTGTGGGGTGTGCGTGAGGGTGTGGGTGTGGGTGTGTGGGTGGTTGTGGGGTGGGTGTGAGGGTGTGGGTGTGGGTACGGGTGTGGATGTGGATCTTCGTTTCTCGTATGCCTACACCCATACCCACTCCCACACCCACACCCATACCCATACCC